CACAATAAAACACTCTCTTACTCAGGCATTAAGAGGACAAGGAAAGCTTGCGGTACCTTACCTTAGCTAAATGACCTGAAATAAAGGCCTGTACCACTGTCCTTTTCCATTAGTGATTTCGTGTCCTTGTGGAAATCCATGTTTCTTAAGTATTACCTCACAAACTATGCTTTTGTAGTTACTTTCAATGGCTAGTTAATGTGAATAGCGTATAAATATATTCATGAACATTCAGACCATTAATACTTGGACATCTCTGTCTTAGAAGCTAAGGGGAAAGCAAATTGAAATCGAAGCTGGTAGAACAGATCTTGCTCATCCGGGAAAATTATGCATTAGAGAGCCACTAACAGCAATAATCATTACCCCTTCTTTAGTGTACCTAGAAATTAAGAAATTAAAATCAACAATATGTTTAAACTGGTCCACATTAGAGAGAGATAGGCAAATAGTGGGTATGAATATTTTTCATCCTTCTAGATTTTTCTTGCCAAGTCAGCTCCCCCTACCCTGGCCTTCTTCAGTAGTTAAACATCTAAAACCAAGAAGAGGCCTAGCAGGGGTACCACCTCTGTCCTCAACAAGATATGACCTGGTAAACTCCCACCACCATTTCTCCTGTCTAAGGAATCCTGCTCTAGCACCTGTATCGGGGACAGCGGGGAAGAGCTGAGGAAATGAACACGCTGTCTCTACATTAGCTGAGGGACATCAGCCTGTCCACCCCCTCATTCCTTTCAGCCCTGTTTTGACATTGAGAACCTACTCTGTCTTCCTTTTATTCCGGAGAAGAGTTTCTCAAATAACTCTGCTCGTCTCCTAAGTCTCTTCTCCCACTCTACTCACTCAGCTTTCCTCGCTAGCTGTAATAATTCTGCCATTATCTGCATGGCCTGTCCACATCCTCTCCCTCAGTGTGAGTTTGTCTGATCATCACTTTTCTGGCTCCTGTTTGCTTCCTTTCATCCTTCCCCAGGGCCCAGCCAGCACCATGCAACACTTTCCCACAGCTCCAGGGAAGCATATACTGGCAGAAGAAGTAATTAACATGGCTATTTCTGCAAGCTAGAAATTCTCATAATTAAAATTTCTTTTTGTAAGATCTTAGGAGTTTAAATAAGCCATAGGGGAAAAAAGAATACTAACATCTTATCAGGCAACATGATCAGTAGAAACAGATGAACTTGGTGGTATACCCCTGGAATTCTACTCTGGGTCTTAATTATCAGATACAAATATTCCTGTAGATTAAAACAACATGATAAACTTGCTATTTTCATTAAGAACTCTTCACATTAACAAAGTCTCTAAAAGGAGCAACAGTTAAAATGAGTTATGAAATGAAAGTTAGTTGTAACATAATCACCTTTCTAAGCTAAACAAAGACAAGTTCTAATAGAAACAGCAGTCATTTATTAAAGGAAGACACTACTGTTTGAAGATACAAATTAAGGAAACTGAATAACATTAATTGATGGATAGTAGTCACCATAGAAATATTTATTAAAATTAAATCTTAGAAAATCAAACAAATTTACAATGCAATTATAACAGCAGGTTTAGAGCTGACATCTCTCTAAACCCAGACAATGAGACAACTTTCAAATTCAACACTGTCTTCTTCTCTATGTGAAACCAAAAAGCATTGGATAACATTTAGACTCCTGACATAACAATATGTTGAACTTCGCTCACCAAGAAAAAAGACAAACATGCTTTGTAAATGAGGCAGACCTGCCTGTCCATACTGATAAATGAAAGCTGACAAATTACACAGAGAACTAATACATTAATCTATTTACAAAAGATAGTTTAAATGTTTAGCTTTCTGTAGTTTCTCAGGAAGCCAGACCACCATGAAAGATTAAAGGTTTATTTGAGGGGTCATGGGAGGTGGGATTTCTTCAAAATCAGGAAAGAAAAAAGGTCTAAATGCTGATTACAATCAAATATAAATATACAACAACTCATGTTCTGGGATTTAAAAATTAAAGCTACACTACAGTTTGCTGCCCCACATCTCTCTCTGTCTCTCTCTGTCTCTCTCTGTCTTTATCTCTCTCTCTCTCTGTCTCTCTCTGTCTCTCTCTCTGTCTCTCTCTCTCTGTCTCTCTGTCTCTCTGTGTCTGTCTCTCTCTCTCACTTTGTCTCTCTCTCTCTCTGTCTTTCTCTCTCTCTTACAGACACACACATACACACACTTCACTGCACCATTACACACAGGTACTGACATTTAAATCTATGAAGAAGCAGCCTTTCAGAGGCCATCAGTTTGTCCATACCAAATATATCCCTTGCATGAGTTCTACTTCCTTGAACAAACTTCTCCATATAATCTAACATGGGGCTAATTCCCCATTTAAAAATTGCTGATGTTAACTCCCTTCACACAACTGAGAACCACTAAGTCTGCCCAAGGGATGGGCCAAGCAATAGATTGGCTCTAGTACCTTGTTAGAAAATACGAGCTTAGCTAGGTGTCCCCCAAAAGAAAACAATCCCTTAGGGAAAATGATCTCATTCCATAAATTTCAGAAAGTATATAGCTTATAGAATGCTTTAATAGACAGGTGTCCAAAATGTTTGGCCTATAGGTCCTATTTGGGCCTCTAATCAGAATCTCTTCTGTTGAAACAATTCAGTGCAAACAAAGGAGTCTCTGAAAACAATACTTTGCAATTCCAAAGTGTACATAACAGACGTTATAAGCACATCATACCTGGAAAGCACTTAACCTCAGACCCAAAAGACAGAAACAATCAAAAAGTGAATGAAAAGAGACAAAGGAGGCCAACTAATGCGAAAATTTAATTTACAAAGAGAGCATTATTTCAGAGTAATTCAGGCCACTCAGGCAACCAGTCAAATCACTTCTGCAATTCTATGACACTGAAAAACAAGGTTGCTTGACTTAGTCAACACAGATCTCATTTTGCCAGATAATTAGTTTGGCTCACTTTGTGTTTCACTCTGCTCGTGGGAGCAGTCCACAAGCAGATGAGCACACTTGGATGATGTTTGCCGGCTGGGTCTAAAGGCAGGGAAGTGAGAGGTTGAACCTGCTACTCCCAGTACAGCTCGTGAAATCATGGTCTCCCCTCACTATTGCTTTACCTGCAGCGATCTGCCTTTGAATGCTTGTCTGCAGTAGTTATCTTGATATCGGAGTTATTTTAATGTCATCACAATGATAACAGCTGCCTTTAATGGAACGATTGCTGTTTCCCAAGCGACATGCTCTGGTGTTTATTCATCCAACTAACGTTTATTAAATACTTACCACGTTACAAATTTGTTCTAGATTTTGAAGTGTGGTCTCAATGAAGCAAAGACCCTGCTGTCATGAAACATTCTTTCCAGTGAGTTAAGGAAGACAGGAGAGAAAATACACAATGTAGTAGATGGTGATGGAGGTTATGAAGAATAAAGAGGGGTAAAAATTCCAAGCGGTGACAGGGTGAGGTCTGATGAATGCAATTTCAGTCACTGGTTTTATAGACTCATTGTGACAAGAGAGACACATCCCTGGGATCTGGCAACTAGGAAAAGGAGAGTTCAAAGGACTTGCTATAAAATTAGGGCTGCTATAAATGATTTGAGGGACAGCTGAAGGAAGGAGAAGTTTGCCATGGATTGACAGTGACAAGAAGTGGGAATAATTCCATGATTGGGTGTCGTAATTCTAATTTGAGGGTAAGTAGAACGTCATGGTTTATGTTAGTGGGCCCCAAGCCTCATGAAATTATGCGTTTGTGATTGGTTGTCTGGTGCTCCGATTGGTGGTGTGAGTGCTACACCCACCTAGGGGTGGAGCCAGTATAGGATGTTACTGCAGGAAGAAGGCGTGTCTCTTTCTCTTGCCTTGTTGTTTGCAGCCAACCAGGAATCGCTGCCCCGCCAAGCCATGCTGCCCCGGAGCCAGCTGAGTGTGGACTGACACCTCCAAGAACTGCAAGAAATAAACCTTTCCTTCCCTAACTTTGGGCATCAGGTATTTTGTCTCAGCAATGACTAAAAAGTAACTAAGGCAAAGAATAAAGCAATGATTTAGACAATACTCTTGTTATTATATGTATTTGGACATTATAAAGGGGCCTTGATTTTTTCCTAATCCATTATTTTCACAGAGTGACCCTATCAGACATTAGTGTTCCATGAAATTGTTCAGCAGGAGAATGCCACTGCCAAACTGTGTATACCAGGCTGACTCCCTGCCATTTTAGAGGCTGCTTTTTTCCCATGCTTAATCTGCGTTTGACTTCCCAGGATTATTATTGCTGTCTTACAAACAAGTGAACTAAAACCCACATACATGAAGGACTTATTGTGGAGCAAGTAACTAAGTAATCCCGGATTCAAGTGGAATAACTGAGCTCAGTTCCACTGAGCTCTACACATCAGGTGCGGCAGGGCTGCACCTTTTGAATCCTTTGGCAAAATGTTATTCTTGAAAGGGTGACAGGAAGGGTCTTAGGTCAGAGGGTAAACAAAGCCTGGAGGTGAAGCTGCCATCAGCAGACCACCCCCAAACCCAGGCCTGAAGGATGCATGAGCATTAAGAAATGAAGTCCAGGGGCTGGGGATTTAGCTCAGCAGCATAAGCACCTGCCTTGCAAGCAGGTGGTCATGAGTTCGATCACCGGTACTGATAAAAAAAAAAGAAAGAAATGAAGTCCGTATGGTCAGCATCCAAACAAAATGTATGGGCCAGATGTCATCCAGGGTTAGAGCTCCTATGTGGCATTCGCAAGACCCTGCGTTTGACCTTGAACAAGAAAGAAATATTTTTCTCCCAGAAATGAGGAAACATTTTCCATTGCATTTAAATTAGGTTTATTTTTCAACGGCTTAATCAAAATAGTTATGAACTGTAACCAAACCTTTAAATACTGAAATAAGTATGTTGGAGTAATGGGCTAGCATATAAACTACAAAGCAATTGATTTTTATTCTATATTTTAAAAACATCTCTCTTTTATGCTAATGAAGATCAGACTTACCAAGAGATTTTCTGGCTTGAGGTCCCGGTGGACAATATTCTTGTCATGCATATGGACGAGGGCCTTACATAGGTCCATGATCAAGCGTGCTGCATCGGGCTCAGGGAACTTCACACTTTCTATAATGGCGTCGAAAAGGTCCCCTCCCTGTACATACTCCATGATCAAGCAGATTTCCATTTCCATTTCATATACTTCATGCAGTTTCACTATGTTGGGGTGAGAAAGGCTCTGAATGATTAAGATCTCACTGTCAATTATGTCCTCCTTACCCTTGAGTTTGGACTTGTCGATAATTTTCATGGCATACGCCTGCCTGGTCTCACGGTGCCTGCACTCCTTCACCACGGCAAAATTTCCATCCCCAATGACCCGTCCAGTCTCATAATGCTTCCCTACATCCGCCGTGATGATGCCTGCAGGCCGCGGCTTCCGGCCAGTGGACCGTTTTGACTTGTTCTCTTCTGGTCTGGTCTTGGGCTCCTTCTCTATCCTTGCAGGGGGGTCATCTCTGACAGCTATCTTCCTCGCTCCTGACACGCCAGGCTTCTTCTCATTCTCTGCTTCCTTTTCTTCTCTTCGGGTTTTAGAGAGCTTCTCTAGCTCAGGCTGGTGCTCTCTCAGCAGAGAGATACTATGCTTGCTCTTGCAAACATGCCTGATGTCTTTCTGTACATCCCTGGGCCCCTCCTCTGTCTCTGGAGGCACTTCCATGAGCTCCTTCTTGATCCTGGCTGCTCCCTGAGGATGGCTTGCTTGATCCTCCGGGTCTCTGTCCTCTTTCATATCCGTGTTCTTGCTAAGTCTGTGCAGCTCATGTGTGGGATTCCTGGGACTGCTCCTATGGCTGTCAACCTTGCGCCCTTCCCCACCATGTGCAGGGTTTGCCTCTGGAGACCTCCTATAGCTCTTTGTCCTCACCAGCTTCTCCACTTCATACCTCTGGCACTTGCCCATGTCCAGCTCACTGGTGCCCAGGGAAAGCCTCTCGTGCTGTAGGCTCTGCTGGCGCTCCCGTTCTCGCTTGCACTTCTCACATCGGACAATCTCCCCAGAAGTCTTTTCAATCTCCAGCCCCAGGTGCTTCTCTCCACTGGCATGCCTCTCCTCCAGAGTGGTTTCTCTGGACAGCTTGCTACCAGATTCAGGCTTCTGTTTCCCCCTCATCCACTTCTTCTGGGCCCTCACCTTGTCTTGCAGTGCAGGCTCCATGGGGGACTTTCCCTGACGCCTGATGATTGCCTTGCCCTGGGCGGACTCAGTGCCACTCCCAGTCTCCCCACAGTGGTGGCCCCCTTTCAGAACCTTGCTATAAAGTCTGCTTCTCAGCCTTGGAGAAGAGGCTCGGCTATGCTGGGTCACTGTCAGTGCCCGGTTTTTGTTAGGATACAGTTCCTCAATAGCCATTTGAATGTTCTTCAATGTCAAGGGTTCTTTGCCCATAGCTATGAAAGCATCCCCATCCCTGAAAAAATCAGAGACACTCCTGATTTCTCTACCCTTGAGGTTAAACAGCTTCCTCACATGATCATTTTTCCATCTTGGAAAGCCTAAGGTTTCTGAGATGTCTGCTAGGAGCTGCTCAAATGTCTGCACCGATCGCCTGTTGAGGAGCATGGTGACCTTACGGAGGGGCTCACCCAGCCTCACCACGGTCACAACCCTGGGCTTCAGTGGGCTGTTCTCAGAATGGACTGAGTGAAGGCCTTTCTGAGTGCTGAACGTGGGCACAACAGAGCCATGTGGGCCCAGGAGTGGTTTCTCTAGATTCCCTCGGCCAGCAGGTAGCCAGGGACTCTGTAGCTTTCGCTCTGTGATTTTGGAGCTTAAGTACTTTAGAGAATTGTCACATAGGCCCCGATGTCCTGCAACAGGAAAAAGACAACATAGTATTAGCCTGGATGAGTTTAAAGAGGCCCTCAAGCTTTAGCAAATTTTACTAAAGATTACTAGTCTGCTATTACAATTTGTAAGTGTGGTCTCTGTGGCTTTGCCCCAAGTGATAGAGCCTTTCTGCTTTCAGTTTGATCCCCAATCTCCTGTGAGAGACCTGCAGTGCAGAACAGTCAGAATCAGCCTAAGGTGGCTCCTTGAGCTTTGCATACCCCTTCTCACCCAGATAGGGCAGGCACTGGAGCCCTCTCAAGGCCAGTCCTGGCTCTGGGAACACCAAGGGAGTTGAGCTTCAAGCATCTTTGACTGAGATCAAAGACCATGGTTTGCTGCCCAGGAAACAACATTCAGTCGGAACATCCTAGAATTGTAAAGGATTCAGATCTTGCCAAGTCTTTGCCAAGAACAGTTTTCTTAGCTAAAATTTCAACTCATTCAAGGTCAAATAATATGACAAGAGATTATGATCACAAGGTTTGAGACAGATCTAGTTTTTAATTCTGGAGTGGCTACCAGCTTGAACAAATCTCTTATATTTCAGTGTTTTCATCCATAAAGTACAAATGATGACATGTTCCTCCCAGAGTTTTTGTGAAGAACACTACATTTGACTTAGTCAAAAGGCAGAGAAGTGATTTTGTGAAGAATAATAAGTGATTATAGGGAATTTAACAAAGTGCCTCACACACAGTAAGAATACAAATAGTAACTGCCAGCATGCAGTGTTGTACGTATAATCTTAGTATCTATTTTTATTATAATTTAATTAGTTGACATAATTTACTCATAAAGAAATCTACTGTGCACAGGCTCACCTGGCATCCAGAGAGCTACTAGGCCAACCTAATACAGTGGATATCATCCTCTTGCATTAGAGGTTGGCACAATAAAGCTGAAAATTGTTTCAAATTAAGTATAGATTGGTCTTTTCTCTCCTTGTTAAAATAAGGAAAAGGTGGTCCTTGTAGCTCAAAATAGTGTTTAGCAGGTGCAATCCTTAGCACTGGGAAAAAAGAATAAAGTGACCATGGCTAGATTAAGGTTTAAGGTTCCAAGCGTAAGTAATGAGGATGTGCATGAATAAAATAAGACTTTGTAGTTCCTGATCAGCTGTACCAGCCAGAATTCAGCTTTTCCAATTTCTAAGCTGGGAGAGAAGATCTAAAGAAAAAGTAGGGGAACATATAACTCAGCTAAATCATGAGTTTGGGCTAAGAATTATTAGTTACCCTACAGATCTGTGTGTCAGACCCTGCATGTAGGAATCTGCCACTTATACTTCCTGTAAGAAGAAATTAAGAGTAATTATTTATAAATGTTAGTGAATCAACTGTAGCAGAAACTTGGTTGTGCCAGGATGGGGGCAGTTTGGCCCAACATATCCACACAGAATTTTTTTTTAATTATAATGTACAATCTGTTCTGAGAAGATTTCCATCTGGACTCAGGTGTCATATCAGATGACAAGGTAGTGGCTATTACTGATCTTCCCACATGCCACAAATTTATGAGCTTAACAACTGTGTTCACACAAAAGGATTTATTTATGGGTATCTGTTATGTTTCTTCTTCTCACAGTCTCTCAAATTGCTCTGTCTCCATGTTTATCTGAGATAGCTGAAGTGGAGACAGCGATCTGCCGCAGTGATACTAGTTTGCTTTTCCTGCACTGAGAAATTGAGGAATGGTACTAACGAAGAGTAACCCAAAGCTGTGTTTCCAAAGGCTACTGTGCTCACTCGTTCTCTTTCTGGTGCTTCATAGAGGGTAGGGTCCTTGATGCGTATTTGTCAAACTAAAGCAAACAGGGTCTTAATAATTTTCTCTGAGAAGACAAGAAAAGGAATCTTAACCAGTATCCCAGACTAAGGCTTTTCTAATCAGAAGTGAGGAAAGATAGGAAGACCCAGATATCAATAATTAGCTGAGCCCAGAGGATGGCAGGCCCAGTAGAAAAACTTGGAGGCAACAAGAAAAAGATCAGATAAAGTACTAGAAGGCACAACGAAGGGTGCTCAAAAGACAGGAGTTAAGTTGGGCCTTCAACACTAGATGAGATAGAGGCTTCCTTTAGTACAGGGAACAAGAACCGTTGTATGGAGCTGGATGGTTTGTTCATGTGGTTACTGAAATTATCAGAAATGATGGTAAAATTCAAGATGACGCAGAAAATGCTGGCAACATAGAAATATGACCTGGCAGTCACTACATGTGGTAACTGCTGGATGATATAAGTCTAGGAGGGGCTATTATATGAGAGAAGAAAAATAACAGAGCTGAAGAAGCCCTGAGAATCTAAACTGTAAACCCAATCTTCCAAAAGCCACAGTCCCTCAAAAAGAAATATTCTGTACTCTAGAAAAGAAAGAGGAACAGGATTCTCGGGAAAGAACCAGAAGGACAAAGAAGCATTCAGTCACTATATTAAGAATGCTGCAGCACTGTACACAGAACCAGGCTCAGGAATGTCCCACAGAGAGGCCTCCCTGGGCTATCAGGGAGGCACAAAGCAGTACACTGAAGGGCTTGGGTATTGTGTGATGACTTTGGATGACAAAGATGCAAGCCATAATGCAAGCCTCAAGATTCCAAACACTGGAACTACAGTATCTGAGTGTGGTGATGGGTGACTGGCCAAGATTGGGCTGGGAGGTTGGGGAGATGTGCTCTTGAAATGGCTAAGCCAGTTTTAGCAGACTGTATATATATATATATATATATATATATATATATATATATATATATATAGTGTGTGTGTGTGTGTGTGTGTGTGTGTGTGTGGTATGGGAGATCAAACTCATGACCTTACACTTGCTAAATCCGCAGCCCCTCAAATATTTTCACTGGAAGAAAAATATCCTCTTTAGTAAATGACTTTTTATATGTCAAAGATTAAAGATTAAATCTGGACCCATCAAATGGAACCTAAGTATTAAAAACCTAAGTATTAAAACAGAAATACCTACTCTGCTAGAAGGCAGAATAAGTAAAACTCTGGAAGACATGGATGTAGGCAAAGACTTTATCGAAAAAACCTTGATCCCACAGGAAATATTACAAAGAATTAACAAGTGGGGTCACATCATATTAAAAAGCTTTGCACAGCAAAAGAATAAGTGAAATTTTTACAAATCATTCTTCAAAGGGCTAGTATCTAGAATATATAAAGAGCTCAAAACATCAAGCCCTCAAAATTAAAGACCCAATCCAAAATGAGCATCTGAAATGAATAACACTTCTCAGATGTAAAAGTATAATCAGCAAATAAATATATGAAAAAATGTTCAACATCACTGATCATTTGAAAGATGCAAATTAAAACACTGAGATTCCATCTAAGGACAGAAAGAATAGCCATCATGAAGGAACTGAGCAATAACAGATGCTGATGAGACTGTGGGGGAAAAGGAACACTTCTCCACTGATGGTGGGAGCGTAAATTGGTACAACCACTATGGAAATCAGTATGGAGATTCCTCAAAAACCCAGAAGTTCTGCTTGATCCAACTATTTCTCTTGTAGATATCTTCCCCAAAAAGTTAAAGACATCAGACCACAGTGGTACATGCACATCTATGTTTATACCAAGTAAACTTTGGAACCAGGCCCTGTCCCCATCAACATATGAATGAATAAAGAAAACCTAGTTTTCATATACAACAGGGAATACTAGTCTGCCATAAAGAATGGTAAACTTGAGATAGTTTTAGGTAAATGGATGCACCTGAGAACATAATTTTAAGTGAAATAAATTAGACACATGTTTAAATATTACATTACTTCTCTTGTGTGTGAAACCCAAAGTGTAAATAAGGACCAAAGGGGAGCTAGAGACTGGGAAGTAAGAAGAAAATGTTCAAATAAGAAAGGGACCAAGGTGAGGGAAGGGAGTGGGAGAAAGAAAAGAGGGATAAAAATAAAAAAGAGTGACAGGAAAACAATAAAAACAAAGTTTTGTAAATTGAAAGGAGAAAAAGGGTTGAAGGGAAGGGAAGGGAATGGGCAAAAAAGAATTAAGATACATTGAGTACAGTTACAAATTGTCTATGGTGTGATCATTATGTATGTCAAAAATGTAACAGTGAAACCATTTTTAAAAACAAAAATCTACTCTATGAATGAAAAAAAGCCTGCTAAGTAGATTAAATAAATGAAGTGAAATGAAAACATTATCACAGACATTTATGTTCCACAAGTCACAGCTGATTTTACCCCATTCTAAAAGAAAAAGGTCTTGCAACATTGGGTTTCTCCCAAGCCCAGGTACACCTCAAGGCCAAAGAGAATGGGGTGCTAAATATGACTCAGTAGGATGAGTATGTGACTTGAGTAGTGACTGAATTAGAAAACCAGTGGTGATGGGACAATACAAGAAGCACCTCGGCAACTCCAACCACACAAGTCTCCTGGGGAGGTGAACCCAATTCCCGCTCGGTGACCCTTGGAGGCTGGCAGTTTACTATAAGGCAATAAACTCAGTTACTGAACCAGCACAACATGTTCAGGTGCCAAGAATGGGTGTGGCTCCCAGAAACACTGTCTCCTGTCCGCTGCCACAATTCACATGAATTTGTGTAACTTGATTCCACAATGACAGTCAGCTCTACACTTCACAAGGGTGGAAGGTTTACCAAAATGACTGGAAATCACATTCGTCCAGATGCCTGTCTAATCATTTATTATAACATTTTCTAGTGATATAATTAGCCACTAATTATCAAGTTCAAAATAAAGAGAAAAACAATAAAAATTCATGCTATACAACTGTCTTTTTAATCACAAAGAAGGTTTGCTTTTCTTGGTCATACCAGGATTATACAGGTGACTAATTAAAACACCTATGTCTGTGATCAGTATAAGTTTTCAATTCTCATCTTGGCTCCTGCAAAGTTATAATAACACATATAAAAAAAGAAAAAGAATCATATCCAAACTGTTATAATAGACACAGATATCTAAGTGTTCTTTAAGC